CTAGCACCTCCTGCTTACCTTCCTGAATATACACCAAACCATAGTCAACAGTTCACTTCAAGTATCTCGAGAATCTGTTTGATGCTCTCTCGATGCATCAATGTTGGCTTCTCCATGAATCTACTAGCCATACCCTTGAGAGACAGATCAGGTCTTGTATGCGTGGTGAGATATCTAAGACACGACCAATGACTTTTATATACTCAGTTGAGTCCTCAAACACACCTTGCTTGTCTTCATCAAGCTTCACCCCAGGGCTCATTGGAAATTTTGTTGAATTGCAATCTGCCATTCCAAACTATGCTAGTACTTTCTTGGCATAGCTAGATTGTTTGATTGTGATATGATCTTTCTGCTATTCCACCTCTATCCCAAGGTAAAAGGACATCAACCCCAAGTCACTCATATCAAATTCAGATGTCATTTGTTTCTTGAACAGATCAATTTCACCAGGATTTTCTCCTGTAACAATCAAATCATCAACATATACCCCAAGCACCACTGCACTATTTCCAATACCCCTCTTATACACACTGCTTCACTTGGACACTTTCTAAATCCAAGTTTCTTCAGGCTTTTATCCAGCCTGATATTCCAAGCCCTTAGAGCTTGCCTCAAACCATAAAGAGCTTTACTAAGTTTGAGTACCATCTTCTCTTTTCCCTTCCGCACATAACCTTCTGGTTGACTAACATAGACCTCCTCTTCAAGTTCTCCATTCAAAAATGCAGATTTGACATCTAAATGGTGAACTTGCCAACCTCTATTTGCAGCAAGGGCTAGCAACAATCTTATTGTATCAAGCCTGACCACTGGAGCAAATACCTCATCAAAGTCCACTCCATGCTTCTGCACATATCCCTTAGCAACCAATCTAGCTTTGTGCTTGATCATCTCTCCTACTGAATTTCTTTTCAGCTTCTAAACCCATTTAAGTCCAATAGGCTTATGACCAGATGGTAATTCTGCAAGTTCCCATGTCCCATTCTTGCATATGGACTGAATTTCACTGTCCATAGCTGCCACCCACTCCACATTTCCAGCAGCTTCTTGGTATGTGGATGGCTCTTCCATCATTGCAAGCAATGCACCCAATTCTGAATCTGATGCCAAATCAACTTCACTAGTTTCATCATAAACTTCATTTAAGTTTCTGAACCTCAAAGGTTCCTCATCATAGTCACTATTATTTCCTGGATCCTCAGGTTGTTGATCCCAACTTGCTCCCTGTGCAAAATTCTCTGAATTCGCTTCTTCTGTCTCTATTGTCGGTTCTGGAACAGTGACTGAATGGCCTTCAATTCCTGTATTGACTGAACCTGACTCTTGAACAGCTCCTCCAGCTTCCCCTCCACTTGTTGATCCAACTACACTTGTTGACCCACCAAGAGAGCCATGCTGAGAGTTCTCACCACCACCATTTGCATCAGCAGATCCCACAATCTGAGTAATGAAATGATCTTGTTGTTCTACTGTGAGTCACCCTTGCTGCGCAACATTTTACCAGGGCCCCTGATCTATTCATTTCCTCCCCGGCATTTGAACAGTAGCGCACCGATTTGATGATCCCCTTCCTTTCTCTTTGGCACCTACAAGGGGTAATTTTTTAAAACAAAAAAGAAATAAATGAAGTGAGCAGGCGCAATACATGTGTACAGGGGGCGGATCCAGTAAAGGGGCATGGGTGTACACATGTACACCCAATAATTTTGCAAAACTTCAAAGTTAGGAGGCTTGTCAAATAGCTAAATAGCTTTAGGTTAGGGTTTTTGTGCTCGACAGCACAACTGACATAAGGGAAGGAAGAGAAGGGGTGGGAGTACCTAGTGGGTGCTCCTCATGCGTGAAGACCAACGAAAGCCTCAAAGACTGGCTTAGGGCGGCAAAGTGTGTCTCGAGAGTGAGAGAGGAAGTGAGAGAGAGAGAGGAGAGCAGAGCGAGGAGGAAGAGGGATGAAAGCAGACGGAAGGGGAATGGCGACAGAAAATTCATTGCTTCACTTCCAATCCCAGCTCTTAGACTCCTCAAAATAACATCTCTGCTCACCACAAGTTTGTTAGTGCGAGGATTAAACATTCTATGAGCTTTACTCCCTCCTCAACTCCAAAGTAAACCATTGGAGTGCTTCATCTTCAATTTCTTGGTGTGGCATTGTGTTTTCACATGACCCACATTGCCAAACACCTTCAAATGACCAAGATGAGGTTTTCTACCATTCCAAACCTCATAGGGGGTTTGAGTTCCCAAAGCCTTAGTTGGTAACCTATTCGACAAGTATACTGAATGCCTGACAGCTTCTCCCCAACACCTTTCTGGCACTCTCATGCTCTTTAACAGTGATCTAGACATCTCCATCACAGTTCTATTTTTCCTCTCTACTACTCCATTCTGCTACGGTGTATATGGAGCTGTGAACTGCCTTTTAATCCCAGCATATTCACATATATCTCTGAAAGAAATAGCTAAGAACTCTCCACCTTTGTCTGATCTCACAACTTTGATTTTCTGTTCTAAACTATTCTCTGCTAGTGTCTTAAACTTAGCAAATGCACAGCTAGCTTCATCTTTGGACTTAAGCATAAAGACAGACATCATTCTAGAACAGTCATCAACAATGAGCATGAAGTACTTGTTACCTCCTGCAGTTGCAGGTGAAATAGGTCCACATAAATCAATGTGGAGCAACTCCAAAGGCTTGCTTGCACGCCACTGTGCCATCCTAGGGAATGCCATGCGTGTTTGCTTCCTTGCCAAACATGCCTGACAGACTTCATCAGTGTGATCAATCACAGGAACACCTCCCACCATGGATTTTTCTGACAACAGCTTCAGTGACCGAAAGCTTGCATGACCAAGCCTGTCATGCCACAACCAGGCTTCTTCAAACACCCTTGCCATCAAGCACATTGGTTCTGAACTTCTCAAATCAGCTTGGTATAGTTGATTTGCAGTTCGACTAACCCTCAACACAAGCTTCTGTCTCACTTTGTCATACACCTCCAACCAATTGTCATCCATGATCACTTTGTGCCCGGCTTCAGTAAGCTGCCCTAGGCTGATCAAATTGCTTTTCAGCCTAGGGATGTAGTACAAATCATGCAGCAGCCACTGATCCCCATTCCTGCACTGAAACAGCAGTGTTCCCCTTCCCTTGATCTCCACTGCAGAGCCATCACCAAATCTGACCTTGCCAACCACTCCCTTGTCAAGGTCTTGAAACTTGCCTGCATCACCTGACATGTGATTGCTGGCCTCATTGTCCAGATACCAGACATTTCCTGTCTTCTTCTCTCCATCGGTCAAATGCAGCTCGGGCATCACTTGCCTCTCATCTAGGAACACAGCAGAGTGCTGCATCCCCGTGATCACCCTTGGCGTGAACTCGAGCGACTCTGGCACCTCCGTGACCGCGAGCATCAGCGCCGGCTCGACGTTCTCCACTCGAGCATGATGAGCTTCGTCTCCCTTGTTCTCTTCTCCACCTGGACAACGATTGGCGTAGTGACCAGTCTTGTGACATTTGAAGCACTTGATGTGGCTCTTGTCACGCTTGGCCCCGCCTTCCTTGTCGAACGCATCCCCGCGCCCGCCGTGGCCATGGCCTTACCCGCCGCGCCCTCGGCCTCGGCCATGACTCTCCCCGTCTTGCGCTCTCCCCTTCCCTGAGGACTCCCCGCCGGACTTCTTGTGTCACGCCTCCCACTCGGCCTGCGTGAGCAACAGCTACCCCCTATCACCCCTGGATCCACCCGCTCCCCGCTGGATCCGCTCCTCGTAGGTCTTCAGACGACCAACTACCTCCTCAAAAGGCAGTTTCTTCAGATAAAAAACTGCTCTATCCCGGCGACCACCGTGATGAAGCGATCCGGGACAGTGTCAAAGAGCTTCTTCACCATCGCCGTATCGTCCAGGATTCCACCCAGGTTCCCGTACTTCACCAACATCGTCGAAATCTTGCTTGCATACTGATCAACTCCTTCATCATCCTTCATACGCAGTGCATCGAACTCACACTTCAAAGTCTGCAACCTTGCCTCCTTCACACGATCCGCACCAACGAACTGCTCCTTGAGACACTCCCAGACCTCCTTCCCCGTCGTCTTCTTCGCCACTTGCATAAGCAAGTCATCAGTAGACACCGAAGGAGATGAGCCCTCGCCATCCTCGCCAGCAGTTCTTGCCCTGATCGCCGCTGGTCCTCTCATCGCCACATCTCGCCTCCCCGATGGCTCTACTACCTCCCACACACCTTGGTCCTCCATAATTGCTTGCACTCGGATGCTCCAGCTCGTGTAGTTGACGCCCGTTAGCTGCGGATATGCATACCGCTCACCGCCGCCACTGCCACCTCCCCCGCCAGAACCGCCGCCGCCAGAGCGACTTGTTTCACTCATCGCCGCAGATTATGGTGGATCAGGCTGTGATTGCCGGCTCCGATACCAAATGTTGGTTTTGGAACATGCAAATCACAGGCCTGTATGCAAATTGGCTAGCCTAGAATCAAGAGGAACAAGTATAAACTCGCGAATGCACTGGAACGTAGAAATGACGAACGACAACTGTCAGAGGACAATGCTATTTTCCACGGATTTAAAATGATCAATACATCACAATTACGATGGAAGTTTTTTTTCACACACACTCTAATGCCAAAGCTACTTATACCAGCAACTCTTACACGACACCTGGCTAAACAACCGCCTAAAACACAGATACAATAGAGTAGAAAGCAACCGTCATGCGACGTCGTGTCGTGGGCACGCTCACCGCGTGCACACCAACCGCCTGAATTCAAACATGTAGCTTCCCGCCTTCGGCTTGATCAGACTCTGACGCTTCTAGCTATGACAGAATTACACCAACAGACTCGCCTTACATATTCGGCGCGGCCTTCGGTGTGAGCTACGGCAAGGACAGCAACGTCAGCATCCAGTACACTGTACACGCCGTCCGTGCCCCCGTACATCGCGCCGGAGAGCGTGTACGCATCGGCGAGGTCGATGGGCCCGAGCGCGCAGATCAACCTCAACTACAACCTCACGTGGATCCTCCCCGTCGACGCCGGATTCTACTACATCCTGCGGTTCCACTTCTGCGAGGTCCAGTACCCGATCACGAAGGTGAACCAACGAGTGTTTTACATCTACATCAACAACCAGACGGCACAGGAGCAAATGGACGTGATCGCTTGGGGCGGGGGCATCGGCAGGCCGGTGCACACCGACTACCTCGTCGTGACGGCGCCCGGCGCCGGGCAGACGGACCTTTGGGTCGCCCTGCACCCGGAGGTGGACACCAGGCCGGAGTACTACGACGCGATCCTGAACGGGCTCGAGGTCTTCAAACACCAGACGTACAACACCGACAGCCTCGCCGGCCCCAACCCGTCGATCCCTCAGGCGGTGGACGGTGGTCACGCGGTCGCGGTGCAATCCAAGAGGAAGAGCGACGCTTTTGTGGCTGGATGGGCCGCGGCCGCCGTTGGCCTCGTTGCCGTGCTGGTGGGCTGTCTCTTCACCTGGGCTATTTTCTGCAGGCGGAAGTGGAAGGCCGGATCGGATGTCGTCCACGTGCCCGAGCCCGTCCATAAGACACCGGCTCCTGTCCTCCATGGCCCAACAGCCTACGTTTTCTCCGTCACGGCCCAGAAATAATCGTTGTCTTACGGATAAGGACACTGTAACTAACTAGGCCACTTTAATAAGGCCCATATGGAAGGAAGATACGTTTGCAGCCCAAATTTTCTTCTCTGTTCCCTGTTCTTTCAGCTTCATTCCCATGTGTGACGTGCGAATGCGCCGCCTGACAGATCACAGATGTTTCGGGTTAGGTTGCCGCTGCTTTTCGCTCGTCTTGGTGAACAACAAGTTGCTAACAAATCTGGGCGTTTCCGCTTCCGATTCCTCGTCACGGAGTACGCACTTGGCCAGAATTCGTGGTGGACCAACCGAAATGGAAGCTTGGAAGGGTGCTTTCCGTGTGGATCCAGGCAAGAAAAGCCCGTGTCTCGCGACAGCATTCCCGGGTGATGTCACGCGGAAATTAGGTCACTTGCGGCGCCATCACGGAGATCGCATGGTGTCATCCGTGGGCAACCGATGTTTAGACACGTCTGTCTGGTTGGATTTCTCCCAGCAGGAGTTTTCAGGTAGCTTGTTATGCTGGTGTAAGTTGCATCATTGGGCTGCCTGAACTGATTACTCGTCAGTAGCAGTCCCGTGGCACGTCTTCAGGTAATCAACATCTATGCGGTGACGCTCTGTGCCAGTCTAATGAGATTTAGTATGTGGCTGCAACCATTGCACGGCGGTGTCTCGTATTGTTAGATTGTTGCTCGTGTCAGAAGTTAATTCATTTTACCAGATGTGATTTCCAAGTTACCTGCAAGAAAAGGTGAATGCTCTGCGACAAGGAGACTCTGACAGGACCGTTCAAGTGCAATTTTGGAGGCGCCACCGCGAGAGTTGGAGATCTACTCCATTCGAATGTTTCAGGGCCTGGCATCATCATCATGGTTCATGAGAGCGGACTCCAGTAAGATCGATCGAAAAGGGTAGTAGTAGTAGAAAAGAAACAGCCGGACACAGTGCACAAGTGCATCGCATGCTCATCATAACTGAGGCGGCAAAAAGGCAGCGCCATGAGGCAGGAATTCATCACCAAAGCGCCGGTCCTTTACACCCCTCCCCCCGATACGGCTCTCCGATCCACCTGTAGTCACGACGAGGCAGATGAGATCGGAGAGAAACCCGACCCGGCGCATGCTAAGTGTGCAAGGCAAGCAATCCTTTTTTTCGCGATTCCTTGCTTTGGATTAAAAGGCACGGGCTTCTTGATCTTTCGCGCACTAACGAAAGACAGCCTCGCCTTGTCTTGTGAGCTTGTGCTCCGCAGTACTGGACTACTGGGGGGCAAATTCTTTGCGGTTTGCACTAAGAACAGAGGCATATGGCTGTAGCGGACTGTCAGTCATCAGTAACTCTGAAACTGGTTAGCTTGCTTCAAGAACAAGAATACTAATCTGGTTCTCAAATCTCAAACAGGCTGGCTGCTTAATACTCCCTCCGTCCATAAAAACATGTAATTCTAGTACAGTGTCGTGGTTTAGTATCTCAAGTTTAATTAATTATAAATAAAAAATATTAATATTTACTATATCAAATAAATACAATTAGATTCATTATGAAATGTATTTTCTTAATAAATTAATCAGAAGTCATAAATGTGAATAGTATTTACTAGAAATTTGGTCAAACGTAAACTACTTTTGTCGGCACGCAATCCGTAGTTGCATGTTTTGTTGGACAGAGGGAGTAGTACCAACAGTCTGACATCCTAGACCATACAAAGCAGTTTTGATTCCTTTTGACGCCTATTAATTGTTTTTTTAAACGAATCAGGCAGGAGAGCTGCTGATTATATTAAAACAAAGATGAGCCCAAAATGGGCACAACGATACAACAAAGACCAACAACCACGTCGCAAAACAAACTTAACAAAAGGAAGAGAAAATAACTCTAGCCGGTCGGATTGGGACATCGACACGAGCCACACTCAAAAACTGTCGGTTGGATTGAGACATCAACACGGGCACACCAACTCCACTCAACTCCAAAAAGTTCCCCACGCTGCACCCCCACAAACCAAGAGTGGAGCCAACAAGTAGCCCTCACCGCAAGTGCCATCGTTATCGACGATGTCCCACGCCAACCAGTCGCTGCCATGCAGAACTAGCCGCCACAGTCCGCTACATGTCGTGTAGCTACCACGACTCCCCCACCATGCCATCGTCGTCTTTAGGTCACGCACACATGATCGTCGATCTTCCAACCACGGCCATGCGTCGGCAGAAGTCAGAAGAGAAGCCCACCGCACCACACCGAAGAGGCCACCGCCATGCAGGACCCCTTGCCGAAGTACCGCTGCAGCACCTTACACACCAAACAATCGAAACACCGCACCAGATCCTAGATCTCCAAGGCAACTCAAATGCGTGGGGGCCTCGTCACATCCACCGCCGCACACCACCCTGGACACACCACCTTAAAGCGCGACAGGGGCCTCGCCACTCGTCGCTAAACTCTCTTCGAGGATCCGGGCTTGCTTCATTGCGTCGGGGTGACATGGTACCACCGAGCCGCTCCATTAACTTCACCATCGTCTCGCCGCCACCGAAATCTTAGTTGCACCACGTGCACGAACACAAAGCTTCTAGAGACATAGCTCACCACCTTGGCCTTCTCCTTACCCGGTCGGATTGGGACATCGACACGAGCCTCAATGGAAAAAACCTCCGCTCGGTCGGATTGGGTTGTCGACATGAGTCTCCACTTCGCTGCCATCGCCACGCTGTGCCGCCCACTCATCATAACTATACAAACACCTCCGTGGTCCCCTTGCTGCCTTCCTCACGCCTTGCCGAGCCATAGCCTCTTGGCCTTCAAGAAGCAGCCAGGTTCCTCCAGCCACACCACCATGGCGCCACTGGTGCCCCTGTAGGATCTCTGGTTGGCCTAGAGGGGGGTGAATAGGCCTATCAAAACAAACACTCAAACTCTTATCAAATTCACTCTGCGGTACTGCCGCTCTAGAGTGCGGCATTGCTGGACTAGAACAGCGGCACTGCCACACCTGCAGACAACTTCGAGTCACAGTTCAAAATCAGTGAATGAAAACTTAGATCAGAGAAATTTCTCAGCCTACTGCAGTTATGATAGTCACAGATCAAGAGCTAGAAGTTGTAGGAACACCACATACAAGTAGATCAACTAGAAACCCTAGAAATCACCTCAACCAACAATATGAAATGCAAGTAATGTAAACCAAGCACAAGTGACACCATAATTTATCTCGTGGTTCGGCTCGCCACGAAGGCTTGCCTACCTCCACGTTATTGAGGTTGGCCACTAAGGCTTAGGGCTTTCCAACCCTTCCTCGTTCTCAAGTCAAGAGACTTAACTCTTGAGATGAGGGGTGAGTTTACTAGCTTTAAGAGATGGTTACAAACCACCCGAGGCAGCCACACATGTGGGCAAGCTCCATGGGCGACGCTCTAGCCGGCTAGGAGCCAAGCTCCAAGAGTAACAAACACAACTGCCAGCCAAAACGTGAACCAAGTGCTCTTTTGAGTTGGGGAATCAATGGAGCTGCTCTCTAATCAAGTTTTAGACCCTTTTCTCTCAAGGATTGATGGAGAAATCAATGGATTTGCTTGAGGGCTCAAGGTCAACAATGGAGGGAGAGAGAGACAGAGGCTCCTGTCTGTTTTGGACAAGTTAGAGTGAGGAAAGAAGAGCAGAGAGCCGTTGGGGAGGAAGGGGAAGGGTATAAATACCCCCCAGCCCCCAACGGTCACTTAAGTCATGGCAGTACCGTAGCTCAAGTGCGGCAGTGCTGCACCACGCAAGACAACAAAGGTTATAGTGAAGTGTAGACTGTCTTGGCTGTGAATCTGAGGATGCATGTGTATGTTTGAGCACTTGATAGCACATATTAGCTTAAACATTGTGTCCCCCTTTATAGTATGCCTTTTCCTATACTCAAATTCAAAATATAATAGAATTTAAACCTCCTTTGAGTTTGAAGCCATCTACATTTGTAATTGGGGGCTCCTCCATTTCGTGTAGCATCCTCAAACATGAATTCCCTACTTGTCATCTCGATAAATCTCATTAGTTCTCTAATTGCGTGGTCATTATCACCAAAACCCACAATTAGGGTTTGATTGCACTTTCAATCTTTCCCTTTTTGGTGATTGATGACAACCCAATTAGAGCTTACAAAGATATGAAATAAATACTGAGATTTTTGAGCCATGGGTGTAGAGCCTCCCCCTAAATGTGTGAATAGAGAATTGAATTCTCAAATTGGCATAAGAAGCCAAAATTCACATTTTAGTGAAAGTGATGGGGCTCCCCTACATCTCAGAATAACACCTGGTGTTTGTGTCACCGATTAAGCAATGGGTTTGAGCTCAAACATGACATGTTAAGTGGTGATGAAGGTGTCAAGATCAAATCTACAAGAGTGAGCTCCAACTTAAACTTGGACAACACACCTTTACTTACATATGTATCCTTGTTAAGATTATGTTAGAGTAATGTTAAACATGCTTATTTCATGTACATTACATCAACATGCATCCATCTTGACCAGTGGAAAAGCTTTATGAAGTTTGGAATCAAGAAGTCACATGAAATGATAAGTTATAATCTTTCTTGGATTGCTTTATTAAGTAAATGGGAATATGAGACATAGACCAAACCTTGCTAAGTTGCCCAAATGACTCTAATTAAATCGGAGAAGCGAGTCAGAGTCGGAGGCGAGCGTCGTTCCTCCTTGGCCAGGCCTTCCGGTCGGAGAGGCGGGTCGGAGTCGGAAGCGAGCGCCGGAGTCGGAGGCGAGCTGGCCAAGCCTTCCAGTCGAAGAGGCGGGCCGGAGTCAGAAGCGAGAGTCGTTCCTCTTTAGCCAGGCCTTCCGGTCGGAGACTGGATCGCCCTTCTGGCCTGTCGTTAGGTTTTTGGGCCGGCCTAGGAGTTGTGTGTCATTCACAACGTCATCTGCTGGGCCGAGCTTCTGCTGGGAAGTAAGTCCATGAGGGACCCTGGGTTTATAAACCCGACAGGAGCCCCCGAGCACCCGAACGATTCAAGTA